GAACAAGAGTAATATGCAATTAATGTGTTATAGGTAGTCTTTGGCAACCAATTAATGTTTATTTCCAAATAGGGTACACATGTTCATATTTGCCACATCTAAGCAATTTAATATGTACTCGTTTATTAATATTTTATCCTAAAATGTTCACTTTGGGTGATAACTTCAGTCATGCTTATCAATATGAAATAGTGAGTATTGACCTTCAAAAGTCCTTTGTGGTTGTGGATGGATCTAAGTGGTTTGATCTGCTTAATGAACCATACTTTAATGCAACTACTGGTGACTTCCCACTTGATGAAAGCATATTGTTTGAATCAGATGATGACCTTAGAGATGTGGCATAGATGAATTCTCCAAATTTGTGGCATATCATTTATTTTATTTGTATGTTTATATTGATATTTAACTTCTGTGCCTTGTTTTCATTTTTGGGCATTGACAAAGATTCTTTTCTCAGCCGAAGGCAAAGCAAGGGCATTGTTTTTTGATTCTTTTCTATAGGTTATCTGCGACATTGATTTTTAGGTGATTGATTAGGTGTTCAGATGAGTGTAGTTGTCTCCACTAATCCAAGTTATTTCTCTTTCTTTGTCTCATTTTTTCTATCTACTTTTGGTTAGCCGTGTAAGTTAAAAAAAACTCTCATTTAATCGTATAAGCATAATTCTCAAAAGTAGATTTGTTTAAGATCTAGAGGACCCTAGTGATGGTTGAAACTTGTAGAGCACATGATTTAGAGATTAAAGTCCTTAAAAACTCAACTTTTTATGCCTATGAACATAATGGTTGTTTCCATCATTGCAAGATTAAACTCTCGTCTCACATTATGTAGCATAAAAATGTTGAGAGTCAGTTGTTGCTAAATCATGTCTAGATTCAGAAAATTATTTTAATAAATTCATGAATTAGGGTATGGCCTAAAAGCTCAAGTGTGACAAATTCTCATTAACCCCGATATGTTCCTGCCTTTATAATAACAAATGTTTTTCTATTAATGATTAGAGTTATATGCAAGAAATAGCAACACACTTCCATGGATTTGTTATTATAGCATCCTATTTTCTTTTATTCATACTACAACATTGTACTTGGAGAATTTTACCTCGTTATAATAATAATATCATCCAAATATAAATAACAACGCACTTTCATTGATTTGTAATTAGAGTATTTTTTAGAAGTACTTATTAGAAATAAAAATTAAAAGTACATTGATATAGTTGGTTAAATTAGCAACCCAACCTTGTAGGCACTTGGTAAGCATTTGTTAGCCCTCCATTATTACGAAACACATATTCTAGATACTCAAGATACAAAGTCAAACCGAGTCAATTGGTCAAGGAGTGTCTGGATCAATTACAAAAGTCAACGGAAGTTAGTTACATCAGGAACATGGAGTCTGTTACAAATGGCTGGGAGGTAGGTACTGAAAGAAATTTAAGGAGGGAAATTGAATGATCTAAATAAACTAAAAGGAAAGCAAAGAGAGCACCTCCTCCTTATCGGCCTTCCCCATGAGAATACAACTCCCTTGTGGTGAACTTGAAAGTTTAAAGAAAAATCTGAAGAAGAAATTAAGATGATAGTCTGAAACAAGTCTTGACATGTTAAATTTGGGGATTCTGATCTGTCCTGAGGAAATTCATTTAGAACTTAACACTAACATTTATTCAGATGGGACCATATCATGAGCGCAAATCTTAAATACTCATTTACTTGAACCCAACCAACACAAAATAATCCAATCTAATTATATTCCAACTAAGGGTCTAAGGAAGACCCTTAGTTTTATTTGGTAACAGTAATAAGAGTACCAGATGTACAAGAGTATTTAATTTGATATCTTGCTGTAATCAGTTCCAACAAAGAGCATTGGACTATTTTTTCAACTTCACAAGTGTCGAAGTTGGTTTCTCATCCGATAGACAGAGTGAGCAATTACAAACCATGTTTCCTCTCATATGCAGTCCTTTCCCAAATTATCAACAGTTGAATACCCAAGTAGTATTTCCACCTACACATCAAAATTGAACTTTTTTCAAATTTAATCAATTCAACACCATGGTATCGAAATCCACCATATGTTTTTTAAAATTTTAAAATATTTAAATTGTTAACCATTTTGATCTATTTTGCAATCCACCATGGCCCTTCCATGTTCGCAACTACATGACATTCACCAACAAAAGAACTATCAGATATTGATAAATATACGTTATGCTGAGAAAATCTCTAAGGGCTGCTTTTAGGGTGAAAGCATAATGCATTATCTGATTTATGCATATGTATACTAAAAGAAGTGAAAGGCAGATGGAGGGGCTTATCTTCTGACTAATTTTGCAAAATACAGGGATACATGTAGATTCTCAAACTCAAATATGAAAGTGTTCAATTTCTCAAAGTGACCTACCAAATTTCATAAAGCAAGATGGTTATACAACTGCTAATACAAGTCAGAGTTATATGCCAAAGACTACAAATTGTGGTGACTTCAACATCTTGGAACAGCAGACGGTTTCCACTGTTTTTGTTCTGTTTTCAGTCTAAATCTCAAACTCAGAGATTGCAGAATAAATCAAAATCGACCTATTTAATGAAACTTCCATTCGCTTACTCCATTTGAATTTTTAAAGGTGGTGATGGGTTTACTTAGTGTTACTTTTAATAGGTTAGATAGATCATTGAATAAAGAACATAGTAATCAGTAGCTACCAGGGAATACATTATTCTAAATCTGACTTGTAGAACTTTACAAATAATACAAACTCCATGATCAATCCTAATTCACAAATTACTTTAGAATTTTGAATATTTTGTTTTTCTTAAAGATTTGAAGTATTTACACTTGTTACCCATTTTGACTTATTTTGGAATTCATGGTGGGCTTCCCATGTAGACAACCTCAATCGTATTCAAAAGCCATAAAACAAAAAAGAAGCAATGGCATGTCCATCTTGGCAACCATATATTGGCGCGCAAACATTTTTTTATATATACATGCTTATGTTGATATAATACTTGCATTTTGTTGATTGAAAAAAAGCAAAACCAATTATTATATTTATAATTTATCAAAGGCAGAGGGAGAAACATACCTTCAGATTAAGCTTGTAACTCCTCAAGTTATGTGAATGTAGGGGATATGTGAGACGAGGGGCCAGTATTTACCACTCCTTTCTTTCAGATTTGGGCATTCAAATATAGTCAAACTCAAAAGTGAAGGCAGCAACATTTCCGGTAGATCTCTTGTGTTTGGGCAGTTGTCAATGGTGAGATGCTGCAGAGAGGTGAGGTGTTGGAGTCCCATTGAAACTGATTCCACTTTCTCAAATATACTTATGCCAAGACGTTTAAGGGATGAAGGAAGAAGATGGGACAACTGACTGAAATTACTCACGTCTTCTGACTCTCCACCTGTTAACCGCATGTCCACAAGTGAGGTTGGGAAAGTCTGTGGGCCCCACTTTGAAATGGGCTTCTTCAACCCTCTTTTATGGATTTATTAAACCTCTTTTAATTATACTCCTTAATTAATTAATAAAACCATAAGGGTGTGATTTGAACTTTTCAAAACATTACTAGAGTTTTAGAATTTAACATTTCTAATTAAACCTTTTAATCAACTTTTAAATTCCAAAACTTGAGGGCAAGTTTTGAAACCTTTTTCAAAACATTAGGGTTTTAACTATTTAAATTTCAAAACTTCAAAACTTTTGGGTTCAAATTTAAATTATAAAACCTAAAGGGTAAAATATGAAACTTTTCATAACAGCAAGGATCAAATAACAAATAATTTTAAATTAACATTTAATCACATAATTATCCATATTTGATTTATTTAATGATTTCTTGCAAAACAATTTATCAATTTACTCAAAATAATTAATCAATTATCTTATAAGGAAACAATTATCTTGTTAATTGATAATTATCTTTAATTAGATCAAGAATATAGTCATATATATCATAAAATCGGATTTATATTGATCTAACATGATAAGGTAACTATCCAAATGCAAAAACAGCAAGAAATCCCGAGATAAGCATTATCTGACGCTCGAACTCGCCGAGTACCACACTGTACTCGCCGAGTTGAGGTCTACTCGCCGAGTACACTGTGGTACTCGCCGAGTTCCTCAGCCATAAAGCCCAAAAACGATTTTCCAGTTATACAATGCATCAATACAATTGAAACCAAGCTAGGCTCTGATACCACTGATGGGTTTTGGTCATAAGACATCCTATGTGCTCATACAAACCCTAATGCTTGGATCTAGGTTTCTCTATTGTACATGCTTTGAATCCAAGACTATAAACCCTAATTCTAACATATGGAAATCGACATTAACATATAATTAGGTTTAAGAACATACCTTGATTGTTATATAGCAATAACAATCACAACTCCACCTTGGATTGACTTTGGAATGCTTAGAGTCACAAGTGTCACTCCTCTAATGGCTTACAAACACCATAAGCAAATGGAGAAGGTATAAAGAGAGAGGTGAGAGGTTAGAATTCGTATCTAGGACCTCTTGGGAAGGGATACACGAATTCATGGCCCTAGGGGTGTTTATATAGGTGTAGAGATAGGGTTTCAGTCATTATCCTTATCTAGTTGATTATCCATTAAGCAACCAATAAGATAATCCTTGAATCCTTATCATACTCGAATTCTAAGGCTTTTCAACCTTAAATTCGTCCACCATATAAATAAGATAATCCTTACCTTATTTTGTAACTATCACATAATTACAAATCAGCCCCTCTAGTTTAATTAATTACATTTGATCACAAAACTAATTCTTAATTAATTATTGACCAATATTAATTAAACAAATATGATTTCTCCTTTAATACATTATTCTTATAACATATTAATAAATCATATTATCCTCTCTCTCTTTATTCATTTCTCCAATCAAGTTGCTTTGGTGAAGGCAACCCAAAAGGACCATGCACCATCGGGTCAAGTACATACCAAAATAGTTATGGACTTAGACACTAATCCAACAGGAACTCAATTCAGTGATCGATTTCAGATTTGGCCAATCAGTTATGTATACAGATTCAAGCATGAGTATGTTTGAGTTGATCAGAGGCTTCTCGCGTCCTCCTATCAACTCCTTTTCCGATAATTTATTACAATTCCGGATGGTAAGTGACTTGAGGCTATTTGGACAGTTGCAATGCTCCAAGCTTTTACAACCCAATACGGCCAAGATGGTAAGAGATGTTAGGTTGCTTCCACAATTATCCTCCTCCTCTTTCTCTCTTAAACTCACCAATTTTGAACAATTACTTACTTCCAACTTCCTTAAATTCACAAGATACTTACCTGCCTCTGCTTCTGATTCCCACAAGTATCTTATTTCACTACACTCTTCAATGCTTAGTTCTTCAACTGCCCCAAGATATTCTATAACACCTCCCCACACCTTATCATCAAGTCCTAAGATATTACTAATATTCAACTTGGTGATCGATGAAACTACACGGACCAAACTTCTTAACACTTCATGGCCACAACCATGAATCATTAGAACCCTCAGTGAAGGTAACGCTTCAAGTGAGACTCTAACCAAATTAGGACAACTTTCAATATGAAGCTCTTGAAGGCATTGAAATGATGTACGGACAACCCCACTATTATTGGTTGACCATGCGTCCCACCCATCCATATCATAAAACCATAATTTTTCAAGTGAAGGGAATGCAAGACCGGTCCCAAGTGACTCCAGACCCACAACTTTTACCTCATTCATCCCTCCAATATACAACTCCTTAAGTAATGGTAACTGCCCAAGTGACGGTAGAAATGTACAGTTTTTACAACCACTTATCGAAACACGAGTCAGCCGACCAAATGAGGGATCCCCAATCCAACTTGGAAACTCTAAACCTCCGTATGATGCAATTCCTAGGCTTTTTAGTTTTTCACTACAAGGCTTTAGCACATTCAGGACCTCCTTTTCAAGTGTTTCCTTTCGAGAACCATCAAATACATCACTCCATTCTAAATCTAACTCGCTTATCTTCTTTTCAGATAAGTTCGCTTCCTGTGCATGCACTGAGACTTGTACTTTTTCCAGCCCCTTAATGGTAATTTTCCCTTGGAGATCCTTTAAGTCCTTAAGCTCGGTTATTGAAATTGCATTGTTTCCTTCAATAACGATCCCATAGAGAGTTTGTAGGCTTTTCAACTCAAGAATCCCTAAGGGAATCTTCTTTACACGTGGAGTATTCCTCATGTCAAAATGCTGAAAATTTATAAGCTTTGAGAAGCTCTTGGGCAACTTTTTCAAACTATAACAGCCAGAAACAATCAACGTCTGTAAATTACAAAGGTTGCAGACATTATCCGGTAGACATGCTATTTCAGTTCGAGATAAATTAAGATACCGCAAGTGCTTTAAACTACAAATGGATTCAGGTACCATGCTTATGTTAAGTTGACACAAACTGAGGACCCTTAACAAAGGTAACTCGTGGAGTAGGTCATCCATGACCTTATTCGATATGTAAAACGTTCTCCAACTTTCGTTTATCCCAGCATACACTGCTAAGAATGTTCTCAAATTTCTAGCTCCTTTGAATGCCTCGAACCTTTTGTAAATCATGTAATCCTCACAAACAAATGACATATGGCGGTACTTTTCCAAAGCTTCCTTCCTAATTTCCTTCTTCATCTGGATGTCCAACCTTGAAAAAAATTCACCACTCACAGATTTGGCCAAGTCATTCATCAGGTCATGCATCACAAACACCAATTTGTCATCAAGGGCATGTTGAAAAAATGACCTTGACAACAACTCGTCAAAACCTTCATGACCCAAGCGTTCCATCGACTTGCTTGTGGTTGATTGGTGCAAAAACCCTTCTGCCATCCACAACAAAATCAACTCATCCTTATTGAACAAATAGTCTTTTGGGAACAAGGAGCAGTATGCAAACAACTGCTTCAAAGAGGCAGAGAGATCATTGTAGCTTAGTCTAAGAGCCGGAACAATCTCATCTCCCTTTCCTGACCCCCATATCTCACTATTCAACACTTCCTTCCATTCTTCCTTGTCTGTTTTTGTCCTCAACAACCTCCCAAGTGAGATCAAAGCTAATGGCAAACCGTCGCATTTGTTGATAATACCTTCACCATGTGGTTTTAGTGTCGGATGTGAGGCAAAGTTGCTTTTCCCCAAGGCATGTTGACAAAATAAAGATAGAGCATTGTCATGTGACAAAACCGAAAGACGGTAAGGTTGATCGTACCCCAATTGGGTCAGCAATGATAACTTCCTAGTCGTTATGATAATTTTGCTTCCAGCTGCCCCTTCGCGGAATGGGCGTTCCAGAATTTCCCAATCAGCATAGCGTTCACTCCACACGTCATCAAGAACAAGAAGAAATCGTTTTCTTGAGATCTTTTCTTTTATAGCTAATTGAAGCAAATTTAAATCCTTAATGTCGTGGTTTTCCCCACCTATGGATTCAAATATAGTTTTGCTTATACCGAAGATATCAAACTCATCGGAAACACAAACCCACGCCTTGAGTTTGAAGTGATCCTTCCGTTGCATTTCATCATACAAAACTCTAGCTAGAGTGGTCTTACCCACCCCACCCATACCAACTATGGGCACGATGCTAAAGTTTCTATCACTTGGTTCATCCCGTAGTAGCTTATGGAGCAACGCATCCTTATCATCTTCACGACCAACAACGCTAGATGCATCTATCAAAGAGGTCTGTAATCTTCTGTTCGTATGCTTTGGGCTTTCACCATTCACACTTAAACCAAGATTATCTTTTTCGTCTACCAGTTCTTGTAACTTGATGGTAATATTATCTAATTTGCTACGCATCCTAGTACTTAGTGAAAAATTTGTGCAACAAGTCGGGATTAGCTTTTTTACCAAGCTGGTGGAGGCTCCAGATTCATCAGTCAACTCTCGATGCATAGCTTCGGTTGCCAAATCGTCAAGCACGTCATCTATGTCATAAGCTAAATGTTGGAGGCCAATCAGCCATCTTTTAACAGCTTTATTAACTATCTCCTTCTGAGAAGCATCATTAAGCAGATCCTGGATCTGGTCTAATGACCTCTTCAATTTCTTGAGCTCAGAATCAATTCCCTTGGAACGAGCGATCTTCTTCAAGGCTTCAGAGGCAAGCTTTTCAAAGACCACTGTTAAGAAGGCAGAAAGAACGCTTTCAGCCATTGTTTATGATAAGAAGAGCAGAGAATATAGTAGAGATGTGGATGAAACCCATGCAAAGGGGATGATGTCAATTATTGTTTAGATGTGGATGAAGTGGAAGCATAAAGAGAACAATCTGAATTTTGCTTAGTGTAAAGATGTGGATAGAACTAACGCACATCACAAGTTAATTTGTGGCCCTGAACATAAAAGATTATTGTCTACAAACACAAAATATTAGAGTTATTAACTAAAGGATAGTAATTACAAAAATTTATTTACCATATTATTATATTTTAACTAGCGATATTTCCTTTGTTATTTGTTATGCGGTTATAATTAAAATATTGATAAATATATGTTATTAAAATAAATATATTTTTATTAATAACTTTAAATTAATAATTTGTACACTAATTTATTATAAAATATTTTAAGTATTTTAAATAAATGATAAATATTATCAAACATGAGTGTACGGAATTATTTTCGTAATTAATTTATGAATATCAAATAATAGATCTCATATTATTTTATTTAAAGTCGCATCATCTTAATAATCGTCATATGTGAAAATAAAAATAAAATTAATTTAGATAAACATATTTTATTTGATATTATTTTAGTGAAATTTATATAGGTTATGTGTGAATTTGAAATTACGATGTAGGTTTTCATATTTAACATTTTATTTATATCTTTATTGTTTTTAATAAATTTTAAAACTATCTTTTGATACATGTTTTATATTTAAATTTTTAATATTTTTAATTTAATTCAAACTATCTATTTCGAGAAAAAAATTATTATTATAAAAATTAATTTTTAATCATTTTTTTTGTTAATTTGACATTTGATTTAGATCTTATATTTAAACCTTTTAGCTATTTCGAAAAAATAGGTTTTTCTACAAATATATGCTTTTTTTTTAATATAACAATAACGTTGTTGCTAAATTTGATATAATAATTCGTATATTAAATTGATATAATATATTGATTATTTTAAATTATATATATATATATATATATATATATATATATATATATATATATATATATATATATATATATATATATATATATATATATACACACTAGCAAGGTCTAAGGGTCATGCTTAGCACGGCCCACAGAGATTTCTTTGGTAAATTTTATAACAATTGTAACAACATTAAGCATGTAAGGTTAATATGTAGATATTCAATGTACAATGCATGACCAAAAAGAAATTGAAAGTGCAGTTCTATCAACACATAAATGAAGTAGATTGATATTTCCTGCCTTCTGCTCGTCATGAAGTTACAGTTGGATTCAAGTTCAACTTTTAATTTCTGAAACATTTTGTAGCCCTCATAAATATGATTATAAATTGAAATAAAAGGAGGCTAAATTAGTGAAGTAGTCATGATATATAGACATGTTAGAAGTTTAGATCAAACTGATTTTGTACCCCTAGATTAAATCCAAATTGCAGAACAAGCTGTTCACACTCATTGTTTGGACGAATCTTGTCTATTGATTCCCTACATGTATAAATAAAACAAAATCACATTTAAAAGTCATTCATAGGAAAAAGGAATATCAAGCATTAAACCAGTTAAATTAAGAATCTCAACATGTATAATATGAGACACGGGTCACTAGCTTTATCACCGATCATTTAAGAAATATTACTGTTTACAAATGAACCAAAAAATACATTCAACACAACAGAAGTGTGTTGTTCTTCATAACATATAAAATTGACGTTTTAGGACTTAAATTCATATCTAATTTATGTTTTTTCATTTCATTTTCCATAAAAATAAGATTTTTTTTTATAAAATCACAATATAAATACCAACACTTGAGAATATAATGGGTGGGAATTAAATGTCGCTAACTTTTCGTTTTCATAAATTATGACAGTATCTTAGATCATAAAGTAAAGTACTATTGTGGTGAAATTACAAAAAGAGCATTGAAATTATTTTTTGTTAAGGGTTAAATACATAAATAGCACCCTACTTTTATTTCCTCCTGTTAAGAGGTTGTACTTTAGAAAACTACGTTATAGCATTCTACATACAATTTTTTTCTTATAAAGACATTAATTCCTTCCACTTGTGACGCTATGAGATTAAGTATAAAAACCTATATACCAAAAATACTATTCTAAGTTTTACAACCAAGTATCAAGGAATTTGAAATATAAGTATCTATTGGCACATAGTGTTGATCTTACCCGTGGTTCAGGCAAGCACACTTGGGGATAAATATTCAAGATCATGGTGGCCATAGGTTCCCATAACCCTAGCTAAGTATTTATAAAATTGTAACATGTCAAAAAGCCAACCAAACCTACATATAAGATGTGAATTATAAAATTAATTAATACTTGATCTACATATAGATTACCTCCAGAATCTTGCCCACATGAAAAAACGTATAAGTTTCAGTAAATTACTTACAATCACCGATGTGAAACAAAGTTATTGAAACTACATACCAAATTACCAATACGTCAACTATAAAACATTATATTGAAATCATAGATGAAAAATATAAATAAAAAGTACGTATTACTTACCAATTTTCTAGCGTGTGTATTTTCAGGTATAATCATATGAAATATACACTTGTCATCAATCATGTTTCCCAAGGCTAGACCGCTCCCTCTCATATCCCTCTTAGGAGGGTAAAAGACCAATTTACCCCTCACTTGGCTCAAATACACTAAAGTTGACCAAACCCTAAAAGTTAACAAAAGTCAACCCTCCGGGTTACGTTGCGCGTACCAAACATGTACGCTGGGCGTACCCGGAGCCTTCACAGAATCGGGGTACGCGACCCCTTACGCCACACGTACTGGGATTATGCCCAGCGTAACTCCCAACTTTTTCCTCCTTTTCATTCAGGTCTTAATTGGTTAAGACTTGCATCCAAAATCCAGATCTGACTCCTCTAATGCGACTTAATCCATAAAGTTGGTGACATTAAGCCTTTGCATGGTTGTGGAAGTCACCAACACCCAAAACACTCCACTTCTAACCTTACAAGGTCCATATCTCATGCATGAACAACCTTTAACAACCAAGACTGGATTTTTATCACCTAATAACACTCAAAGAGCTAGTAGGGGACAGATCTTGGCTCCTAAGAGCTCAACTACTCATAAAGTATGAACTTGGGGACCAAAAACCCTAAAACTTCTCTCTACAAAGCATGAACAGAAAAGATGTAAAGGTTGAAGCTTTTTACCTCAAAATGAAGCTCCTTTCACTGCTTAACTCGGATCCAAAAGCTTGAGCTCCAACTCTTCCTCTTCCAAGGTTATCTCTTTGCTCCAAAAGGCCAAGAACACAATACAAAGCCCTCCTAGACACTCCCTTGCACTGAAAATGAGATTTAGGTTTTGAAATGGTAAAGCTATGGAAAAAGGTGGCCAACAAATGAGCCTTAAGGTTGCTTAAATAGGGAGGCTCAACATATTAGGGTTTCTCTTCTGGGCCGGGTACGCCCCGCGTACACCTTGGTACGCCCCGCGTACCTGGCAACCCTTCCCGATCAAGACGCGGACGGGTACGCTGAGCGTACACCCCAGTACGCCCCACGTACTCGCCAAACATGCATTTCCTTAAGAGGGCCAAATGTGCCAAATGCTCAAAGATAAAGGTTCAAAGGTATACCTGATTTTTGGGATGTTACAATTCTCCCCCACTAGAACCAGACTTCGCCCTCGAAGTCTCATGCTATGAACAACTCTAGATGCTGCTCCCGCATCTCCGGCTCCAACTCCCAAGTCAGCTCGGACCCTTTCCGATGTTGCCACTGGACCTGAACGAGGGGCACTTCCTTGTTCCTCAGAACCTTGATCTTCTGATCCAAGATTGCGATCGGCTTCTCAGCATAATTCAGACTCGCGTCCACCTGGATATCCTCTAATGGTACCACTGCAGACTCGTCGGTAATACACTTCCTCAGCTACGACACGTGGAAGGTATCATGAATCTGGTCCAACTCTGCAGGTAGCTCCAAATGGTACGCTACCTTGCCCACCCTCACGATCACTCTAAACAGCCCAATGTACTGGGGTCCCAGCTTGCCCATCTTCCTGAATCGGATCACTCCTTTCCAAGGAGATACCTTCAGGAGCACGAAATCACCGACCTGGAACTCGAGCTCAGATCGTCGCCTATCCGCATAACTCTTCTGGCGACTCTGAGTGGTCAACAACCTCTGTCTGACCTGCTGTATCTGCTTTGTCTTCTGAAGCACTATCTCCATACTACCCATCATATGTTGCCTTACCTCACCCCAGCAAATGGGGGGTCCGACACCTCCTTCCATACAACAGCTCAAAGGGTGGCATACCAATGCTCGAGTGATGGGTGTTGTTATAGGAAAACTCAGCCAAGGGTAAGTACGTGTCCCAACTCCCTCTGAAGTCCAATATGTATGCCCGAAGCATGTCCTAGAGCGTCTGAATCGTCCGCTCACTCTGTCCGTCAGTCTGTGGGTGGTATGCGGTACTAAAATGCAGCCTCGTACCCAATTCCTCATGAATTTTCTTCCAAAATCTGGAAGTGAAACGCACATATCGATCTGAGACAATCGAGATCGGCACTCCATGCTGCGATACCACCTCCCTCACGTACAACTCTGCCAGCCTCTCAGCAGAAGAGCTCTCAATGATGGCTAGGAAGTGAGCGCTCTTCGTCAACCTGCCCACAATCACCCAAATTGCATCGACACCCCTAGCAGTCCTCGACAATTTGGTGATAAAATCCATGGTAATCTATTCCCACTTCCACTCGGGAATCTCTAATGGCTGCAACTTACCATGCGGACGCTGGTGCTCGGCCTTAACCCTGCGTTAAGCACCTCTCTACAAACCAAGCGACATCCCTCTTCATGCATGGCCACCAATACTCTCTCTTCAAGTCCAAATACATCTTAGTGGCCCCAGGATGGATCGAAAATCTCGATCTATGTGCCTCCTCCATCAAAATGGTACGTGTTCCGCCCACAAACGGTACC